CTCTTCGGGCTCTTGTACACCTTTTTCTTGCTACGTGTGCGTGTTCTTTAGATCCTCAGATGGCTCCAGCACTTTCGTGACCACGGGCCGAGAGTCTTTGCTAGATTTTGGCATTTAGCAACTGGCATACGGTTTAATGTGAAGTCAACAACAACGCTCAGTGTCGCATTGAAATCCACCCAGAAAGACCTGTGCTCTGCATGGGGCAATCGGCGCAGAAGCAAGAACAAGAACCCCGTATATGCGCAAAGTATGAACTTGCAAAAGGAGAACATGGGCTCGGTTTGAAGTAACCAATAAGCGTCGACCCTCACGCAAAATGAACGGTACTAGGTAGTGCGCGTTGGTATCACTCTTCGTGGGCGACTTTTTTTATCCATGAGTGTGAACATCAAACTTGTTATTGTGCTTCTCTCAGAACGCAAGTGTCGGCGTGAGTGAAACGAAAAGGTCGGCATGAACAGAACCCAATGTGAACGTGGGTTGGTCAACGAATCAAAATCACGCAAACTTTAGCCAACGAATAGCACCATCCGTCCACCTGCATGCTTTGCCACTTCTAGTAGCAGCGGTTAGGGCATGAGATTTGCACAGCTAACGCCATGATGGGCCGCTGTTGTAAACGTTGTCTGCGTACAGTAGTCCGCACACATACTTTTTACAGGAAGTTCATTCGTTGCAGTTCGCGAGTCATGATGGGCCTCTGTTGTAAACGTTGTCAGCGTACAGTAGTCCTCACGCATACTTTTTGCAGGAAGTTCATTCGTTGCAGTTCGCGAGAGTGCTGGACACTTCAAGAAACAACGAAATTATCAGAGCTGTCTTCGTTAACGGTAGTTCATGTCGGCATCATTTCCCACGTTAACCAGAAACACGGTACAGTGCAGTATTTTTTGGGCGGTAACTGGCCACCACGGTAAATTCCGTACCGTACCTGGTGACGAAGGTACTTTTTTTCTTGTACTGTAGCCGGCCACCACGGTAATTCACAAAAATGTGCGTACCATGATATTTTATACGGCAACTGGTCACCACAGTATACGTTGTGCAGTTAACCACACCATGGCACGTCGGGTCCTGTTTCGTTTGCTAGCTTTCAAGTGTTCCTCACGCGTGTGTTCACCGCACAACAAACGTGCGCGAACGGTTCAACAGATTAAGAAAATACCTAATCAACAGGCCCCCACATAAAAACTCAAGGCATGAACACCTCAGCTAAATCTGGCGATCAGGCAACAAGGGAGCAAAGAACAAACGGCCCAAAACAACAGTATAGCACGCATTGCATACATACGAGGTAGAAATATGTTTGTGTGTTTTCGTCCTATTTGTTATGGCGACATTCCCCCCATTTTTTCGTGGTGAGGCGTGTACTAGACTCTTCAGTGTATTTGTTCGTACAACTACAACAACCATCCAGGGTCACACAGGAGGGGGGCTTTTTCTTCTTTTTTATTTTTTCGTGCCCCACCTTCCTCCTGCGGTGCATGCTGAATTTGATTTTATCACGAGGAAGGTCTAGCTGTCCTTTTCCCTCGACGGTTTCGAAAACGTCGAAGGTTGGTACCCATTCTTCAACTACATTTATCAACATATTGGTGAAATTGAGAGCGAGAGCCAAAAAAATAATAATTCGGGTCCAGACGCCTCTGACCATTTCTTGGGAAGTAGGGGGCGGGCTCTTCCAAGAAGCGGCCCAAATTGATGGTCTAATCAGCAGCGTCACGATAGGCCTGTCCTCCATCGGCCGTTTTATTTTCGATTTAGATACACAAACTTTATTTCTATACTAATTTCAAGTAATTCCACCTTCTTATTCTCCGTCATACAAGCAAAACGGCCGATGGAGGACAGGCCGACGTCACGAGCATATGCGTGTCATCGTCATCGGATGCTGCAGCTAGGAGCTAGACAAGTTGCTAGATTTCCCCAGATTGGCTTTCACTGCCTCAAACTGTTGCAGGGCGGTGTGGCCTCGGACGGTGGCCTCTGCTGTAGGTTCTGCTCGCCGCCGTAACTCCACATCGATAGACTCCCACAGTATGACCAGGGAATCTGCTTGTAGCTACGGGCTGGCCCTTCAATTCAAGCTACACAGCAAGCTCCACCTCTCAGCAGTAGTCCAGCTGCAGCACATCGCGCAATCTCGCTCTCAATTTCATGCTTCGCTCTCAATTTCACCAATATGTTGTTATTTCGCTTTCACCCGCAAATTTTGTAAATTGTTCCCCCCATGGGAATTCCAACTCACGACCTTAATGACCAGCGGTTTCCGAGGATACCACTATTATGGACCACCAAAAAGAATAGACAAGACAAGAAACTGGGAGAAAAAAGAGTAGATAGAGCGGGGCTCGAACTCTTGTTTTCGAGAAGGCTTTTTGCCAAGAGGGGCACATGGGCATCTTGCTGTGGCCTGTAAATGTATTTGGTGTTTCTGTGCGGTAGATGGGATTTTATTGTTCTTACGGTAACGCACTCCGCGGTAATTCGAAAGTACGGGAACTGTGGCTTTTGCGCGGTATTTTGTTGTACGGTAATTGGGCCTTCGATTTGTTGGTTAACGGTTTGGGCGTGAATGGTAAACCAGTTCTGTCACGGTAACGATTTGGATGGGCACGGTGATTGTCATTTTTCACGGGATCACAGGAAACAGTAATTACCGTGGTTTTACCGCAGTAAAAGGACCGTAAAGAACTAAAAGAAGACAGCCGAAGCCCTGGAAATTCTGGCTGAATCTCTGAACGAAATCAGGCGCACCAACCGCCAATACACCGCTGCCCTCTCGCCAGCACGTGTTCGAAAGTGCCCCACATGCGACACAGACAGAATGTGCTGACACAAATTGCGAAGCATCAGCTTGTGCTGCGACCATGAAAAGTTCACAAGAGTCCTGTGGCGATGAATTCTACCATGTACCACAAATTAACTGACTGCACAAAGTGCACCGTCGTTCGCGCAACGTTCCGTCTTCAGGCTCGCCTTCCGAAGGCAATTCACCTCAGGCATCGTTTAGAAATCCTCGGCATGGAAGAAAACAACAAGCGCAGGGCCGCTGCTCCGCTGAAGGCCCGGGTGGCAAGCATATTCCTGGTCATCAATGCCTCTACTATCCTCCTCCATGTCGGACATGGGTCAACCAGCCTACCGTCCTCTTCGAGCGAGGCCTGCGTCGAAGAGGCCGCCGCTTGCTACGACTCGGCCTTGTGCTGGGACTGTGTCGCGCAGTTCGCGGAAGACGGTGTCGACAGCTGCGGGGAGCGCTACCCCGCCATGTCCAACTCCGGCGCCAGCGACTGCGACGTCGCGTCTGCCCTGTTCTGCTGCAGCTTCTACGTCAGCGGGCAAGACTGCCTGGATGACGCGGTAACGATGGAGTTCTTCCAGTGTGGGCTGGAAGAGAGCGGATGCACCCTCTCCGACTCGGATTGCTCTGCGGGCGACAGCAGTTCCACCCCTTCCGCCTCTGATTCTGCCCCTGCCGCGTTGTCCACGTCGACTCCGGTTTCTCTCTTGCCTGGACCAACCCCGGCTCCATACACTGCTGTTTCTTCCCCCCCTACACCTACCCCTTCCCCATCCGCCGCAGCGACTCCGGCTACCATGCAACCAGCCCTGCCAACAGTATCCCAGACGGATCCGCAGACACCATCCCCCAATGTGTCCTTCACACCAGCCCAAACTGCCACCTCCACATCATCACCGACTGCATCGCCAACAGCGACGGCCTCCTTGGCCGCTCAGACGTCAAGACCAACGGCGAGCCCAGAAGCAGAGACCGCTGCTCCGGATCAGACCTCCGGTACCATGGCCCCGGCGTCGTCGGGCTCTGACGTACGAGATCTGGGGTTTACACCATCCCCTGCTAGTGGCTTGGTCGACGGCAGCGATATTGATGGAAACGAGGTTACGGCCGCCCCCAGTTCTAGCGGCACTGGCCAGACGGATGATGAACCGAATGAAGGCGTTGTCGAGAGTACGAGCGGAGCCGTGACGCGGATACCGCTCGGAGGGAGGGGCGGCCTTGAAGGGCGTTGTGTTGTATTGCTAGCGGTAGTTGGGGCTTGGGGCGCCGCTGCAGTGATGGCGGTGTAAGGCGTGCGTGCTTTTCTTCAAAGCATGGCAGGCTAGGGCTTGTCTGGTGCTTGTCCGGTCGCCTTGGTGACTTTGTTGTATCCCTAGTTGTACGTTGCTGACGTTTCGATGTGAGCTTTTACCTCGGCGATGTCGTTAGCCCAGGGGTTGAACGTACATGCGGGAAGCAAGTTTCAGCGACTTCACCCACCATGTGCGAATAAATGTTGAACTTTACGGTCGACGAGGGAACGAAATGGTTGAATCTTTCTCGTCAGCAATAGAGGCCGAAAACACAAACTACTTATACTTTTGCGGGTTTCTCCCCGTCTGACCCGCCAGACTCGTCCCAGTATACTGTGAATAATAGTTTACGGCCAGAGTATCAGAACATTTATCGTTGAGGAAAATCTAAAATTTTTTGTGAAATGGAAAAATTAGGATTTACGAACGCGTAGTTTTCGTTGTTTCTCACGCTCCAAGAGGCGTGTTGGTTCGAATGCCTTGGTTCGGCTCTCTGGGGCCTCGCTCAGAGAAAAAAAAATCAAGGGGTTCCTTCAGCTGCCTCGCCGCACCTCTTTCAAGAATTCTGGTAGACGCGAGTCCACTGGATGACACGGCAAGGGACACAGGACCTTACCTTGGAGGATCACGCGGAAGTTGGCTAGCTACGTCGGAGGATAGACCCGTAGGGGAATTGCTGTAGTTTTCCTCATCTCACTCGACCTTTTCGGGGGGCAGGAAATGACGATAATTGGAAGGGTTTTTTGCGCTAGACGAGAGGCCTCCCCTTGGTATTTCTTGAGTCTCGGCTCTCTGGGGCCTCGCTCAGAGAAAAACATCAAGAGGGGAGTCGGAGCCAGTATGAACACGTGTCGCGTAGGGGAATTGCTGTAGTTTTCCTCATGTCACTCGACCTTTTCGGGGGGCAGGATATGACGACAGGGTTTTTTGCGCTAGACGAGAGGCCTCCCCTTGGTATTTCTTGAGTCTCGGCTCTCTGGGGCCTCGCTCAGAGAAAAAAATCAAGAGGGGAGTCGGAGCCAGTATGAACACGTGTCGTGTCGAGTGTACCATGAGCAGAGAAAAATTGGCTCGTAACTAGGGTCGTCAAGCTTGTCATGAGGGAGAAGCCTCCCGCTGTAGGTCACAATGTGCGAAGGCAATTTTGAAACCAAGTTATCACGCGCTTCAGACGAGTCTGTGGTACTACAAAGTTACGACACTCGCACGTGGCACTTGGTGTCGTTGCACGCTCGTCCGATCGACCGGCGTGTGACTTCTGTCGGACCCCCTCGCCGAGGTGTGACCAAAGATCACAAAAGGCAGACCTCCACGCTCAAGACCTAGTGTCTCTTGGAGCTTCCCAATGATGGTTTTTTCATTTGACTCAAACCATTACGTTGCCGCGTTGACTCGGTCAAAAGCAATATAATGAGGCGGGATTCCGCTACTATATAGTCGGCGGTGTCGCTTCATCACCGAAAGTTCTCCGAATGGAACTGTGAGTGCTATGTCCATCTCAACTTCGCGCCGCCGTAAAAAACTGATTTACACTTGACTTTTTCGATCCAACAAAGAGCGAGGGTTGAAAATGTACCGACTTCATTCAGGTCGATCCTTCGCCAGGTGAACGTTGGCCGCCCGTGCTCTTGCAGGATGTGTCATCGGTACGAACGCACTTTACTACCGACCACGTCATTTTGAATTTCGAGTCTCGTCGGGTCATTTGGGTGCATCCGTTGGTCACAAAAACACCACCACGCACAGCGCACAACACAACTCCTGTTTAAGGCCTCACATCCAATATTTGACATTGAGAGAGGAGTGGTCGCTCTCTCTCGTGCTGCCGGCAAGGACGACCAACATGGTACCTACAGGCGATTGGGGCAAGCCGAGAGAAACCAAAACATCTCAGAACCCAATGATTCACTGTTGACGCGCCGTCCCTTTCTCGCCTCTTCTTACAACTGCGGATAGAACAAGGATCGATCAATGGTTGACCGATATACACGCACAGGGAAACTTTTCCTTCGGGAGGACAGTTTCGCGCACACGAGAAGCAAGCACGGTCTACCCTCGTACTGACAGGCTGCAGTTTGCATGTCACACACACCCTCTAGTTTACCGCAGGTAGGTGTTCACCAGCCCCCGGAATCCCCGATTGTTTCACCAATCACTTGCCAACCACAGAAGCACTCACGTAGTCAAGTTCGCATACCTCTACCTAACGGAACCAACACGAACGGCCCGCGTACCAGCCAGCAGGCGTGTGGGCGCACTTTCATCTTTCAGGAGGCGCTGAGGACACACTATACCCCACCCGTTTCAAATTTTTCAGCAGCCGGACGAGAAGTGGGTAGCAAAATCTTCGGCCAGCCCTGCCGAGATATACGCTGCTTGCCATGTGGCAGGCGGCAAAGGGAGAGCAGCAGCACTTTCACCACGGTTCCCGCAGAAAAACAGTCAAGAATGCGGCAAAGCGCAACCAACAGATAGCACAACAATCATGTGTGCACCGTCCATTCACATAGGTCGCGCCGTTTTTTCCTCGATGGCGCTGACCCCCGGCAGATCCTTGCCCTCGAGCAGGCCGAGGCTGGCCCCGCCGCCGGTGGAGATGTGGGACATCTTGTCAGCAAGGCCGGCCTTCTCCACGGCGGCAATCTACGGCAAGCAGTAGTTGGCCCGGATATTGGATATCCGGTCAAAAAGGTTAGCAGAGATAGCATAGTTGGCAGAGAAAGTGGGCATGTTTCGTTATTGTTTGCTTTTTTTCTTTTGACGGGGGGGGATTGAGGTGTTGAAGCGCGGGGAGTGACAATGAGAAGGATGTTACCGTCGCCTGTGTCTGTATTTCGGAGAAGCCAACAAGACGAGAAAGGCGGGAATGCCTCAATCGTACCGAGTCTCCGCCTCCGATGATGGTGATCGCTCCCTTCGAGGTGAGGTCGGCCAGGCAGTTGGCCACGGCGAACGTTCCCACGGCAAACTTGTCGAACTCGAACACCCCCATCGGTCCGTTCCACACCTAACAGCACCGCCACCGTCGCGGAAGCAAGGGAGGCAGGGTCAGGGTTTTGGATGACGAGGGAGGGAGAAAGGGGGTGCGTGGAGGGGTTGGGGGGAAGAGGAGAGGGTGGGTGGGTGGCACGCGCATTATGTCTGTCGAACCAAATCATCAATTGGACTTTTCGTGATCCCAGTCAACTTTTTCGGCTTCCACATCATAAGGGGAAAATGACGAAAGCACGTACAAAACATATTTGACTCCGTACGCTTGTACCTGTCTCACCGTGAGCGCATTTTTTTGGTGCAAGATGCCTACCGCTCTTTGCGCGCGTAGCGCCGGGTAATGCACGGTTCATATAGCCATGCGCAGTGATGGTCTAATTGGCGAGTGTTTTTCCTCCATGCAGATGGCAGCAGTGCTTCGCTGCTGCTCCATCACCATGAACGATATTTCGTTTCGCAGCAGCCAAGTCAGAGACCCTCCTGATTTACATACGAAACGCAAACGCTCCATGCGATACATTCTCGCCAGGCTCACCGGAGCAGTGCGTCATACAAGTACCCCGAAAACGTTTATGATCTGGAAAAACTCTCAAGCATCGAGACGGGCCACTCCTTGAACAGGCAGATCACGTCCTCTCAACTACCGCCTTCAGTTAAACCCACACGACGCGTTCTATGGTACCCTTACTCCAACGCCAAGCTACTCCCCTTTTCCCCTCACAATTGTTTTGCATGGAGCCAAGGCCTCCTCGAAGGACGAAGTAGTCTTCGGCCCCACGTCTAGCCCCATCCACTCCTCCGGAATGCTGTCGGCCGCGACGACGTCTGACTCCGCGTCTGCGGCGAACTGTATTGAACAGAGGTGAACAGAAAAAAATAAGCCTCATTGTTATTGGAAACCTCCGTTGTAATTTCAGTGGGGCGCGGTGAGGTGGAACACGTGTCATTACGGGGGAAGCTGGCCAGATACAGGCAAGATTGACAAGCTTGAAATTCATACATGTGATTGCCAAGGGTCGGGTATCTGCCAAGATATTGGCACATCCCTCCTGATGTCGTCGTGTCAACAGAGGCGATTGATTGCCGTGAGACAATTACGACACAAACTTGGGAATTGCGCGTTACGAGAACATGATAGCCACACCTCCTCTTGTCTAGTAGAATATGCGAAACTCCGTGGCCTATTTACATGCGTATGTGTGCGTGTTTTTCAACCTTGCTTCCACCTATCGTATATATTCTCCCCATGTGAAGGGACGCCACGTGGACCGGACGACGGCAAAGATGGTGTGCGTGTGGTCGTCGCTACAACTCTGAATGATCGCTGTACTTAAACTTTGAACCTGCTCTCGCGCACGCACCTTGTCGGCAACGACGACGTCCTCCGGAAGCAGCAACTTGACACCATTCGCCTCCGCCTTTTCCATCAGCCTAGCCGCGAGCTCGACAAAGTCATCTTCCACCTGGGAATCGTAGGGGTGGAAAGGTGTGCCAATAAGGGTAATGTGCGCGCGAGGAAAGCGCAACAGGTCCAAGAACGGATAGAGAATAGGGGTAGGCACGCAGGGAGGGAGAGAAGGCAGAAGAGGTGGGGGTAGGCCCTGTGCACAGACAGCTATCGCGCCGAGGTTGTTGTCGACAAGTGCGAAGATAGCCGGCGAAGAGATGGATAAAAAAAGAGACAGAAGCAGGCAACGGCGTTGACATTGGGAACCAGAAACTGTTGACTTGCTCAGGTATCCGCACAATCTTGGTTCAGAAAAACAGTATTATTCTTGACCATGACAGCTACAGCAGAATCTATTGCACAACCATACCACGAAACGAGCGTCGCAGCGGGGATGCGTTTTCAGCCCGCCGCTGCTCCATGGCAACCAACCACAAGCGACAGGATGCAACGAGCGATGTGCAAGCAAACACACACAACACTTGGGGCTCTGGGCAAACGAGCCTGCTAAAATAGTGGCACGAAATACACCAGACCGAGGTGCCTCACGCGCGCGTGAGCATCCAGGCTTCTCGCAGTTGTCTTCGCAAACAAGAAAGCACCCGTATCCGCCAAACGGCGCCCATCTCCGGTCTCGATGGACAGACGGCCCGTTACACACCACAACATCACACGAGTGGGAAACACGACCAGCCATGTGCATGCACACGAAACAACGCAACGCCGTTATCTCACCAAGGACTTCCCGACTCCGAGTCCTTTGGCCTTGTAGAAGGTGAAGATCATGCCGCCCCCGAGGAGGATGACGTCACACTTTTCGATCAGAGCTTCGATCACCGTTATCTGTACGAAAAAAAAATAAAACGGCATCGGCGCAAGAGCCAACACGCCCAGTTCGAACGCGGATCACGTACATGACCAAAACCGTGAAACGTTGCTCGCCCTCCAGCAGGGCGTCCCCGTGTGAGTGACACGTTTTCAGCTGGAAAACTGCAACGCGCCATATCGAATATTTGGCTGCCTGAAGCTGTTTGAGAGCAACACGTTGGAGAGCCCCGGGCCGGGCCGATGCTGTCGAGCAACGTTCGTCTTGCATGTGGTCGACATGTGAAACACGAGGTGAACAACGGCGGATATTGACGCCCCAGCTAGTCTCGCTGGGTCTACGCGTTGTACAAAAACCTTCGGCGCCCCCGCACGTTGTGTACCGCTGAGGTTTTTTCCCACACCCAGCACTCTACGTGCACCACTGAGCTTTTTTCCGCACGCCCAACACTCTACTGTACAACGCTCAGCTTATCACAGGAACCAAAAGACGGTTTCGTTGCACTGCTGTTCAGCACAGTCATTCTTGCGGTCTACAACCTCCTCGCCGGACCCTGGTCATCGAGGTGTTGCTTTCGAGTGGGAAAACTCAAGACCGCGACCTCTTCCGCGTGGTAGGACGAGCCAAACAAACCCACACACAACGGAGGCGTTAACTTCGGACAAGGCCAGGGGCAGTGGCGAAAGCAGTAGTGTCATAACACAGGTAGCTCATACCCTCTCGTGTTTATGTACCGCCAGCGAATGATTCCAGTAATTTTTACCTTGCAGGACACCTTGGCACCCCCCACAATGCACGCCATTGGCCGGACGGGATTGTCCACGGCTCCCTTGAGGTACTTGAGCTCCTTCTCCATCAACAAGCCGGACACCTGAGCCAAAAGCGAGAGACGTCGCCAAACGGACCAACAACCGGGCACCGGGAACGTTCGATGGCGGGTTGGAGCCCCAGACAATGTTGGGCACATTGCAGGTTAACCGGAGGGCGGTGGTGGGTTGGTGGCCATGTGCCCCGCGATGCTATGTCTCGTCTCCGCCGGTGGGTCATCTTCAGACCAGAATACATAAGGAAGGGTCAGCCCGATCGATGTCGAGCCTTCGATGCGATCACGTGCAATGGATATAGAAGAGATCCACACGACGATGCCGTACATAACCAAGCCTTGGTGTCGATTAATCTACACCGCCCGATCACGCCATCACATGCCAGGAAGAGAAGGCACGCTCGCCCGCAACTTTCTGAATCCTTCTGAAGGGAAAGAACCGCACGGTACGCTTGCTTCACCTTGCGCTCGACGAACTTGGTGATGCCCGCGGTGGACGCGTGGGCGCGGTGCACAGTTCCGAAGGCATCATTGACGTAGTAGTCACACAGCGCCGCCAGCTGCTTGCTGAACTCCTCGTCGTTGCCCTGCCGCGCCAGAAGGGAGGGGGACAATAGTTATCTCTCACTATCGCGTTGAACCTTGACGGATGTCGCACACCCTGGTACGTTCGATCTGACTCCCGGCTTGCGGCTAACGCGCCATTCCCTACGCGAGGCAGACTCTTGGGAAAACTAAAAGGTATCCTCAGTCAGGCCAGAACCACCGAAATATGTAAGAGCTATTCACCAGTTCCAAGACGTCACACGCGCGGCGAAGAAAAATAACGAGGTATGTTGCCTACTTTGATACGGTTCCACCTCTAAACTGCATTGCGGATCCAACGCATCACACAAGCGTGTGATGGAAATAAATAGCCAGAGGAGAAAGGGGTCACAAACGTGTGGAAACGACGGCAATAGCGGGCTGGCTATCGGGGAAGGGCACCCGCTGCTACAACAACCTTCGGCTCACCTCCTCGCCGGAGTGGAATCGGACGTTTTCCAACAGCATGATGTCGCCATTCCCCATTGACGAGATGCGCTCCTCCACCGCGGCTCCGACACAGTCGTCCATCTTGATCACCTGGACGAAACGTAAATATAGACGCAGGTGGAATTAACACGTGTAATGGTTTCACGACAAGTACCAGACAAACACGCCGCTGCCCGAACATAGCACCCACGCAAGATAAACACATGATGGTCTCCCGCTGTGCATTGAACGACCTCCACACGGGTAATTGTTTGATCGAAGGCAAGGGGTCTCCCACGTTCAGTCTACTCGCTGAAAAAGACACTTTCTCCGCGCAGGACTGAGGGCAAGGAGGCGGTTGCAACAGCGGGTGAAACATTGAAAACATAGTTGGATGTTCACGTAACTGTAACGACGCGTCGCAAAGGGGGGTAAGGCCTTTGTTGTTTCCCTGAAAAAGCACATATCTTCAGGTAGAGCACTGGATCCTGGACTCTTATCCGTGAATAGAAACGGATTCGCGTTGCTATTCTAATAAAATACTTCCTCTGTATCATAAGTTAGGGTACCTAAATTTGTACGGGCCCTTAACAGTGTCCGATCTGTTTTGCGATTTTTTTGTTGAAATCTTCGGAGTTTTTTTAGCAAGAAACATTTATTTTTATTTTTATACATGCGCCACCCCGCGTGCATGAGCGGCCGAGAAAAAACCAGTCGGCCTGAAAAAGGCCGTATTTTGCATGTATCCTGCCCCCTCCGACCAGGCGGGGGGGGCGGGGCAATGACAAAAACAAGGTAAAAATACCAAGAATTATCCCTGACCCTAGACCTAGCCCCCCCTCTACTCAACGATCCATGATGCGTCCCCCGTACTAAAAACAGCATAATAGTGGCCCCACACTGAAAACAAGACACTTGGGGTGACCACACTAAAAACAAGACACTTGCGGGGCAAAGCAAGCAACAGTAGGGCCCTCATCCAACCCCCCCCTCTACTCAACGATCCATGTCGCGCCCCCTATACTAAAAGCAGTATAGTAGTGAACCACACTAAAACCAAGACAGTTGGGGGGGCACACTAAAATCAAGACACTTGCGGGACAAAAAGAAGGGTTGGTTGGTGGCGGGGAAAAAATAGAAAAAGTCGACAATTCCTACCGCCATGGCAT